TTTGCCACATTTCCGCTCCAAATTATTTAAAATTCAAACAAAGGAGAAGTAAAAAGAAGAAGAAAAGCAAGGCCGCTTTTGCAATTTTGGGGCGCAGAAATTATTTACTTAACATAAACCGATTTGGATGATATCAAATAAAAACACTCAATTACTTTTAAAAGCTATAATATTTTTTAGAACTGTGAACAGCTTGCTGCCTGTCATCTTACTACTTAGCACAAGTTCTTTGCATTCATCTGTGGACTTAAATCATCAAAAACGAATACAATCCCCAAATATTCCAATTTAATTATGTACATAAGATGAGTAAATGGAAGCAAGTATGACGAGTTTGTTATCGCGGGTCAGATTTAAGGTGCCTGCAGAAAAAAACTTTCTGAAATGCTTGTATTAAATCAAAAAAACCCCAATTTAAACGATGTACAAGAAAAAATTCAAACGATGCAACGGGTAGTGCTAATTTTAGCCAAATTTGAGGGTAACATATGTACATACATATATTTGAAATTGGTTGTGGTCAACAACCGGCCAACAATCAGCTAACACTTTTGTGCACATTATCCAATTGGACCGGCACGTCAGGACCACATGATGGAATCGTGCCCGAAAGCTTTAGCAACAAATTTAATTTATAATCATTATTTATGATACACGCATTTGCCTCAACAAAAGGACGCTTTCAATATATATCCTGCCATTACCGATGCCCATAATGCCTTAATTATGTTTCTGGAGCCAAGCAAAATAGGTCGGCACCATACGCAGTGCCGACAAATTTTGATTTATAGACACCGGCTGTGCGCTATGAACACTCGACCTTGGACAGACACCTACACGCTAGCTTAGCCCGATTCGACTAGAGCCAGTGAAGCAGTCAGACAGTTGACCAGTCAGTCAGTCAGCCACTCAGCCGGCCTGGCAGCCAGTCAGATAGGCGGGCTGATAACAAATTATGGCTTTACATGCGCGCATTCCAAATTCCAAGGCAACAAATTTGTATACCAATACCTTTCATTTTGAGAATATAGAAGAAAGGATTCGCGTGCGCTATGTGGCAGGACAGTGGCATGCCGCTGGTGTTCATCATACTTTTGCTTACATATTCATCAACAATAATTGCCTAGACGGTTAGTCAGTGTGGTGGTTGTTCTTGTTATTATTGTGTTGTGGCTGCTAGCGACTGTTTTCATAAGCCCTTTCTTCAACCTGTCCTTCCGACCCTTGCGACCCCTTGAATGTTCGTGTTTTTCTTGCGTACCGGCTCTTTCTTTATTATTCTTTGTCACAATGTCCCAGAACGAGTCCGTAAGTTGTGCGCCTTTGAGTGACTTGGTTTTTATTGTTGTACTTGGAACGTACATACAGATACGTATATATTACCCAAAGGCCCCAAGCTCACAGCTCAGCTCACAGGTCACATCCCACATTCGCTAAAGCCCGCACTTTTCACCATTGTTTTTGTTGTTGTTGATTTTTTGGGCAACTGCTCAGGCACTTGGAATATTTTATAAGAAAACTTGACCTGCTTTACTGTACCACAACGGCAAGAACAATGGCAAGAGATGAACGAGTGGCAAACGAAAAATCCCTACTCACTCCCCTCCTATGCCCCCCAGAATCGAAAGAAACCGCCAACCTACTCGTCAAATACTTATTGTTTTATTATTGTATCTGTCTGTCGCTTTTCGCACATTCGTGCCGATTTCTGCTTCTCTTTCCATCCAATTGGCCACCTTTTATTTATTTTCTGTTTTTTTTTCGAGCTTAATTATTATTAATATTTCATAAAGTGTCAGGGGGTGTAGGTCGAAATGACCATTTCAATGAGAAAGATTAAAAAAACTTTTCTGAAACGTTTGTATATATTTCAAGCTCATGCTGTTAATTCAGCTGCGAGTCCATATGTCTGTATCTCTGTCTGTCTAACTGTCTGCCTGTCTCTGTGTGTGTGTTTGTCTGTCAGTCTGCCAGTCTGACTTTCAATTTTCAGTTCAACTTTTTCGGCTGCCCTTCTTCGGCGTCCGAATTATCCCTGTTAAGCTGAAAATTATATTTAAATATTTATTTTATGTTTTTCATTTCGTTTGAAAGCTCTCAGTGGTCGGTATATGTATATGTATACTTGTAGGTTTCCACGAATACGCGTTGTTTGTATATGTTTGAGAAAAACATAGGAAAACGCAAAAAAGAAGCTCGGCAATATGGTTTACGAGCTTAATAAGCTTGGTAATAGTTTAACCTTTATTTTTTGGTAAATTAATTCGTTGAACTGGCAATTGATTTCTTTCGCACTTATTCTTCCGTTGAACACAAAATCAGTATATGTAGACAACGTCCTATTCAGGCAAATTTATCACGATACGAAATCTTTTATAAAAAGTTGATTTGTCAGAAAATGATTTATTTCTCAAGACATGAAGACCAAAACGATGACTGAGAACCAGTTTGTATTGCGAAAGGGTAACAAATTCTTTCTGATAAAAAATAAGTAAGTGCGCAAACAGTAGGTACATAGCCCATGACGGAGAAGATATATACATAGTTTCGCCGCAGAAGATAACTTTTAGCGCAATTTTTTGTAAAGGTAGCATTATCTTCTTTAAAATAGTTGATTGTGTGCTAAATAACCATCTACCTTTTTTTTAAAAACGAACGAAATGTTTTAATTATTGTTTATTGAACATTGGTAAACAACTGATTAAATTAAATTAATAATTAAATCAAATAAAAACACACAAATCAAATTTACACACTAGGCATATACTTGTAAGACGTTGCAGAAACCGGATCTTAAATATTAACCATATTAAAAATTGTTCCGATTGATATTTTATTAAAGGGTAAAAATAATAAAAATAGCTCCAACTTATAACTGTTATGGCCATTGTGACAAGGCGATCAGAATATTTATAATTGACTTTAGTTTTTAGTTTTTAATCATGTTGAATTCATCTGATAATCAGTAGATCACTTAGACTGCTTTTAGTAATTTATTTGCGATTACGTTTGCATAATTGAGGTATACGGACATTACGGTCTCTGTTGTGAAAGCATTGCTGATTGTGCTTTTGCAATTTATTTTATGTTTATATTCTTTTTTATTATCTTTTGCTGTCCTTGTTTGTAATGACTACATGGTGTGTTTTGCAAACACCACAGCTACAAAATTGCCAAAACTTTTTTCCTATCACATACGGAACTAGTGGTATAATGAAATGCATTATTCACATCCAAATACACACAGAGATATATGTACATATATAGATATGTATGCTCACCTTTGGCGACTCTTTAACACTTTGTTACCGGAGATGTCAATGTTTCTGGCATGTGTGAACGTAGTTGTGGGAACTTTTTTGCATACTGAACTTTTTTTTTGGCACTTTTATGCAATGCAGATAGATGGACACAACTTTTCGTTCACATATATATATTTATTCCTTTGGCAGCACGGCAGTAAGACAGAAAACAAATGCCAAAGGACACGCAGAAACGATCTCTAGCACTTAATGTTGCTCCTGAGAGGAGAGTGCGGATTTTTATCTAATTTGCCTTGGTCTTAAAACATATTGCTGTTGTTGTTCTTGTTGCTCCCGCGTGTCTTTGCTGTTTTGTTGTAGTTGTAGTAAGCCCTCGGATTAGATGATTACAAGAAACGTGAGGCATCAACTAAAATATTTGCACACACATGTATGTATATTCTACATACTCGTATGTATTTACATATGGTACCTAAATAGCAAACTACTGTAAGACGAGCTCGTAAATATACAAAAAGCGAACACGCACACACTCACACACACAGCACGGAACAGACAGACAAACAACAATCAAGAAAGTTGCGTGGGCGCCGGCGCCACTGACAATGGAATGACAATGACGAAAACTTTTGCTGCAGAAAAAACCGTTTTTGATTCGCTACGTAAAGAGGACGACTTGAGACGTGATTGTGACAAGTCCCGAAACACGGCAAAAATGAATTGGCATAAGCCGTTATGTCAAACCGTTAGAGGCAACCGCACGCGCGCATGGCTAAATTTGAACTGAGGCCAACTGAACTGAGCAGCTGGCACTCACATGGGCGCCAAAGTAAGAACAGTGGCACAAGGAAAGAGGAGGAAGCGGCACAACGAAAGAACAAGTGGCTCAGTCGCATTGCCATGTGGTTGTCGTTGTTGTTGGGCTTATCAAAAACAGCTGTGCCAGAGCAAAGCAGCGCAGTGGCCAAAACTTTGGCATACAAAAAAGCTTCAACAAAAGCTTTACACTCTGCGGTGAAATATTGGACTCAGGTGGAATATTTAAAAAGCATTATCTTTCCAAGTCTTATAAATACATAATTCTTAAAGGGTTCTTGTTTCTAAATCATTCAACAAATTTACAATAAAGTTCTTAAAAATTATGGTGTGACCAACAAAGACTGTCATGTTAATAGTCTCATGTTTCTTTTTTTGCTTTTATGCTTATGCATAAAAACATAACATAACTACCTTGTAGAAGATGTAGGACTGCTTTCTGTCTAAAAACTTTTTTTCAACCCTCCCATACATTAATATAATATTTTTACTTATTTTTATAGTTCTTAAATAAATAAATAAAATACATACATTTAAAATAGAAACATAAAACAGAATAGAATAGAAAATATATACTTTCACCAAGAACAACAGCATAGCTTGCCGGACTGGCTAATAAAATTCCCCCACCGTGTCGGATTCGTTATTAGATATTTTTGTCATTTTTATAGGCTTTTTTATTTCATTAGTTTTATTTAGTTTAAGTTGTCTATTGTATTGATTTTTTTATGTACATCGACTGCATTGTTTGTCGCTGAATAATTAATAAATAAATAATCAGGCAGAATTCGCTCGATAGAATAATTGGTTAAAAACCTTATATCATTTGTCTAATCGTTTTTTTAGGAGCATAATTTGGTTACTTAATTTTTTATGTAAATGTGTTAAACTTCGATAAATGGTTATTAAAATACGAAAAAGTTATCAGAGTTTATAAAAAAATCATTGGTATATTTAGTCTTTCCATATAACATATGTACAAAATAAAATTAATAATTCTCTGTGGTGCGCACATAATTGACGCCAGATGGCATTTCCACCTTGTCAAAGCCCTTCGGGAAGAGCTTATGAGCCTCCGCATCGGTAACAGTTGGTAAAATCATGACCTTGGTGCCAGGCTGGACAACAAAATAATAAAATCACAATTGGTTAAAGGCTAAGAAAGGAATTTTAAGGAAACACTTACAGTCCAGTTGGCGGGGGTGGCCACTACTTGCAAGCGATCCGTCAATTGTAGAGAGTCAATTACACGCAATATTTCACTAAAAAAAATGTTAAAAAACAAATACCATCAACTGTGCCTTTAAATAAAGACTCCATTAGACTTACTCAACATTGCGACCTGTAGACATCGGGTAGAACATGGACAGACGAACCTTGTGATCGGGACTGATGACAAACAAAGCTCGAATCGTTTTGCCAATTTCGGGATCCTTCTTCTGGTCCTCATCCAACATTCCCAAGCTTACGGCCAAATCGCGAGTGGGATCGGCAATAATGGGATAGGGAAACTCGCCGGGAATATCCAGACAATAGCTCTTGATGTCGTTGACCCAGTCAACATGCGATTCCAGTGGGTCCACCGAATGGGCCAAGCACTTGGTATTACGTTTGGCAAACTCCGGCTGGTGAACGGCAATCCGACCCAACTCTGTGGTACAAACGGGTGTAAAATCGGAGGGATGCGAGAAGAGCACCACCCACCTATTTGTATATAAAAAATATATACATATGTATGTAGTGTGTATAAATTATTACAACAAATATATGTTGTAAATTGAGTAACTCAATTATAGCAACCAGAGGCTTGTGTGGTTACCCAACTGAATATCACATTTTTTTATATGGAAAGCACACAAAATGCAGGGACAAGTCTAAACAAAGCTTGCCATTTTAGTTGTGCATGTCAACTACATTTATCGGATACAAACATGTGTGGGGTACTAAGTATATGCTTAAGTGGCCATTTAGTGGCGTACTTACACTAATAGTTAAATAATTCATTAATTAGGACTTACGAGTTGCCCTGCCATTCGTGGAAATTGATGGGACCCTTGGTGGTGTCGGCTTTGAAATTTGGTACAGTCTGGCCCAAACGCATCTTGAAGGATTGGTTTTTGTTTTTCGTTTTTAATCAAACAATTCTTTACAACACTTGCTATATGTAGCTGCTTGAAGCACAATCGCTTACTGACTGATCTACAGCTCAAATGCCTCCCATATTTATACTCGCTTGCAATACCGGCTCCGAGAGTCCAAACAAATACTAGTGCGTGTGCGCTTGTGTTTGTGGCAAAGTGGGCGCTGTCTTACATACACACATGTACATATCTATGTATGTATGCAAGAATGTGTGTGTAGATAGCGTCGACGGGAGCTAATACGGCACGCCTGACCTTATCTGGTACATGTGCATACATACATATGTTTGTTTCTTAATGCAGTAGTTTCGGGGGGAAACAAGGAGTAGGAACATTAAGTACATATGCATGTATTTATATAAATAGTACCTATGTATGTATTTACATATGTATATACTAACTCGCTCAGGCTACACTGTGGCCTCGCGTTTTATAACCAGAAATTTCCAGTTCCTCTGATGAAATAGCTTTGAGCAACTTAAAATGGCACATGGCGTGATTCTATTGCGCCTTGCAGAATTTGAATGTACAGGGTTTATTTTTTGGAATCATAAGCCCTAAAGGAGAATGTTCCTGAACAGCTGGTAAAACAGGTGTGCCTCGCACCGGCTACCGACCGTTTCTTCTATTCAATTCGTAAACAGAGAGCTAGTTAAGGCCCCGAATGCCAAGAGCGCACTTCAATCTGTGACTGTATTAGTGACTACCATACAATTTTCAATACTTATACACCATTTTACGCTCCCATGAGTACTTCAACATTACTTTACGTATGCCTTGTGTAGGCAGTCGTGAAATAACCAAAAGTCGAGAGAATAGTAGCCGAGAGAGCAACTGAAAGCTTGATTGTGTGAGTGTCATCCATACAAACCGCAATACATTGAAAGATTGGCGCTCTTGAAAAACTTGCTACACATGTATGTATGTAAATACATGTGTACACGCTATACCAGGCCTTATCTGGAATGAAATACTATAAACAAATACTGTTTATTGCAAAGCAAAAAATAGTTGTCAAGCAACAACAGCAGGGGTAGAGAATAATTAAATATACTTAATCATGACAAACAAGTGTGTTTTTTTTTGCGTATTTCGTTGCTTTTTCAAAAAATACTATACATACAACCATTCTAGCTTTTATGATGAAATAACTTCAGGGTTATTAAAATTTTTCTATTGCTTTTTAATTAGATTAAATATGAGCCATTATTGGTATTATAAATCCCACAGGATAAGTTTCCAAACAGCTCCGTCTTCCACCGGCTATCGACTGCTCCATCCATTCTATTCGTAAACAGAGAGCTAACTAAGGCCCCGAATGCCAAGAGCGCGCTTCAATCTGTGACTGTATGGGTGACTACCAACGATTTTTCAATACTAATACACAAATTTATGCTCCCATGAGCATTCGGACGTAACTTAATGTGTCTCGTGTTTAGTGTTTCGTGAAATTTTTAAAAATCCGAGAGAATAGTAGCCGAGAGAGCAACTCAAAACTAGATTGTGTGTGTGCGCCCATACGATTTGCAAAATACGTTGAATGTTGATGCTCCTAGAATACCTTCTATGGATACCACTGAGCGAAGAACGCAAGAAAGTCTTTGCCAGTACCAATTTATTAAATGCAGGAATTACGTTAATATGAATGTAGAATTGCTGCACATTTGTACGTATAATATGTGGCTAACTAAGAAATTAATCATAAAATCATATTCAAAATCAATGTTAGGAAATCAATTCCTTCACCATTTATTTTCAAATATTAAAGAAGGGCATAAACCTTTCAAATTAACAAACGTGTCTATTGAAATCACAGAAAATTTTCCACTGACACGCTTATCAAAAACCTGTACTTTACCCTACAAAACAAGAAAACAATTATTTGTGTATGCACATATGAAAATACTAACGTACATACATACATATGTATGTACGTGTACAGATGTATGTATGTAGTGATAAGAAAGGAGGGACAAGAAGAGGTAGGCTACATACTGACATACTACATATATACATGCTTTTGGTTTTAGACATGTACGCTTATGGCTTCAAATATTGGCGGACATTTTTAACAGTTGTTAAAAAAAAAGCGACACTAAATATTAAATTATTCTACACGATGATAACCTTTCTAATACCTTTTTGACAAAGATGAATAGGTTATTAGTTGATATTAAATCTTCACAGTTTTAAGAAAAGGATGTTTCAGGCATATGTCGATTCGTCATAGACATGAATTTCTTCGGTTCACCGGCGCTTATTCTATATTTTTTGAAAATGGTGTTTTTATTCAAAATTAGACTTACCCGCCCAAAGTAAGCTTTTCAGCACTGCCACCTGGTTTCTGGTTTTCCAGCACTGGCGATACTCGCTACATTACAATCGGTGCTGCCACCCTGTCCATATTCTGTCGTACAACATCTTCCATCGTTATATTTAAATATGTGCGAAGAAAATTGTCTACTGGCCTAAAAAACAATTACTTTTAAAGGGGGGGGGGGGGGGGGGGGGGGATTTCATTCCCCTAAGTAAGTTGTTAAGCCTCCGTCAGTTTATATTACTATCACCAGATTGATTGACGGAATTAGATTCTTTCTTAAAGGAAAATCTATTTTATATGTCACAATTGAAGAATTGTAAATAACTGCAGAAACGATCATAAGTAGTTTTTTTTTGGATAAACGATTCACCTTTTCAACATTTTAGGAATAAATATATATCATGTGCTTCTCAATTATAGTCTGGTTTCTGTTTGTGTTTGAAGCTCATTAAATGTAAAGTTCTTTAAAAATTTATATTCCTATTAGACTTGATTACCGACTAACCATATGCACATACTATTTACTCCTACTGCACCTAAGAAATTCTAGGAGGGAAAGAAACTAATGTTATCATGGAAAACCACACACCATAATATAAATACACGTATGTGCAATCTACAAACTATTTGCTTGAGTCAGCAATTTGTCATTTATTTATTTGATGTTAAATGTTATTCAAACCTAAGATTTATATATGGTAGAAAAGCCTGTCAAAGATCGATCCATTAGCTGCACCTCTGATCTGGGATTGGGTATACATAGCTTTAAGAATAGTAATAATAAAATATTTATGGCTACCAATACTTAGAACAAGAGTAAATCGAAATATTTTAATAGTTCGATGAGTTTTTTCAATGCCCATTGTTTTCATGCATTTCGGCTCAGAAACTCGAATTGGGTTTTGATTCTCATTCCTCACTCCCTCATGACATTGGATGGGTGCGCCTTTAAAAGTAGCAGCAAAATCTAAAATGAATGATTCAATAAATGAACAATGTCACTTATTGTTACCATTTCAATCATTGCGGCTGAATGTTTGTTTGAATCGAATTTGACCCTCTCCTATCCCTCCCTACCCTAGCCACTTTTTGTGAATTAATTCGGCCAATGCACAGCTGAAACATATATGTATGTACTATGTATATATATGCATGTGTATATAGTAGATATGTATATAGGAATGTGTACACAATTTATACAATTGTTTTGTATTGCCTGCCGTTTTGCGCTGCGATTGCCTTTTAAGGTAAACAAAATGCTGAGTAGCAGTTATTAGCTCTACTTGTAATCGACCAGCGTTAGGCACAAATAACAACAGCAACAACAACTGCAACAACCACTCCAACAAAACATTACTGGGCAAGGCCTCGCTCCCCTCTACTGATAAGCAACGCATCCAAAATCACACCCGCACTTAAAAAGAAGCAGATATTTTCATTTGTTTATCAGAAACTTCCTGTGAGACGAGTCTTTTCTTATTGTTTTTTCGCTGCTTTTAATATTTTTAGCGTTAATCGCTCTTAAATCACTATCGCCTTATTAGTAAGCGTTTCATTATCGTACGCCAGCCGAATAAACGCATGACCAATATTTCCATTTCCATATAATTGGACAGCTCATTCAACAAGTTTTAAATAGTTTGCGGTTGGGGAAATGAAAAACTCACACATAGATGTTTCAGTTCGTCGCTTTGTTTATTGGTTTAATAAGCGTTTACAAATTATTTTTTTTTAATGTATGGTATGTGTAATACATATGTATGTAGTAGGAATGCTTTAAAGTTTATGCTTAAACCGAAAGATGGATGAACTTTAAATAACGCCAAATTGTGCGTAGAACTCGTGAATTTCGAAGGAACACAAAATTGGTTTGCTTAAGTGTATGAAAATGGAATGATGTATTCATGTATATGTATGTATTATAAGTGTTTATAAAAGTACTTTATAGGGTGTAAAATATCTTTGTTGTTTTTTTGGGGAGCGTGAGCGTTGTTTTCCGCCGAAGAAGTCCCTCTGTTGTCCCTGCGCGCAATTACATCTATGCCTGCAATAGTTTTTCTTCTTTTTTTTGGTGCTCGTCCTACACGTTTATACCAATACACTATCCTTATATGAAAATCGAACAAAACTATTGATGACATCGATGCGAGACGCAAAGCGGCTACGCCCACAACCAGCCGAAGCCGTTTAGAAGCATTTGCGGTGAACAATTGAGGGTCCAGACTCATCGTACTCCTGCTTGGAGATCCACATTTGCTGGAATGTGGACAACGAGGCCAGAATAGAGCCACCGATCCAGACAGAGTATTTGCGCTCGGGCGGAGCGACAATCTTGATCTTCATGGTGGACGGAGCCAGGGCAGTAATCTCTTTCTGCATGCGGTCAGCAATGCCTGGATACATGGTGGTACCGCCCGACAACACTGTGTTGGCATACAAGTCCTTGCGAATATCGACATCGCACTTCATAATCGAGTTGTAAGTGGTCTCATGTATGCCGCAGGCCTCCATGCCCAAGAACGAGGGCTGGAACAGGGACTCGGGACAACGGAACCGCTCGTTGCCAATGGTGATGACCTGTCCATCGGGCAACTCATAGGACTTCTCGAGCGAGGAGCTGGAAGCTGCAGTTGCCATTTCCTGCTCAAAGTCCAGGGCGACATAGCACAATTTCTCCTTAATGTCGCGCACAATTTCACGCTCGGCAGTGGTGGTAAACGAGTAGCCACGTTCGGTAAGGATCTTCATCAAGTAGTCGGTCAAGTCCCGACCGGCCAGGTCCAGACGTAAAATGGCATGTGGCAATGCATAACCCTCATATATGGGGACGGTGTGCGAGACACCGTCTCCAGAGTCGAGGACAATGCCAGTGGTACGACCAGAAGCATATAGCGAGAGTACGGCCTGGATGGCGACATACATGGCCGGGGTGTTGAAGGTCTCGAACATGATCTGAGTCATTTTCTCGCGGTTGGCCTTGGGATTTAAAGGAGCTTCGGTGAGCAGGACAGGATGCTCCTCTGGGGCGACACGCAGCTCGTTATAAAAAGTGTGGTGCCAAATTTTCTCCATATCGTCCCAATTGGTTACAATTCCGTGCTCAATGGGATACTTTAGTGTAAGGATACCACGCTTGCTCTGAGCCTCGTCGCCCACATACGAGTCCTTCTGCCCCATACCAACCATTACGCCTTGGTGACGTGGTCGGCCCACAATTGATGGGAAGACTGCGCGTGGTGCGTCATCGCCGGCAAAGCCGGCTTTGCACATACCGGAACCATTATCGACAACCAAAGCGGCAACTTCTTCGTCACACATGTTCTTAATGAGTTAGTTTAGCTTTCTGCAAATGAAAAAGTCACCAAATATGTATACTCCAATTAGTAACACAGACTTGAGCTCAACGCGCACGCACCGTCACAATTTTATTACCTTTTAAGGAAATAGTCTAGATACGAAAAACTTTTTCAAGTTTCACAATTTGAGCCGCTACGTAAACCAGACACAATGACTGACGCTCCTCAAATAAATCTGACCGACGCCTACTTTTTCGAATATGGTGGTTGAAAATGTTCGGTTGATGCCATTCAAGCATCGATACGATACGAGTAACTACTTTAGGTAGTCGAATATCGAAAATCCCGCCGATACATCAAATATGCTGGATTCATTAAATTTAATGCACTTTCGTAAATAGTAAGTAAAAAGGAAACATTCTTAAATGTGACAAATTTAATGTTCTTAAGGTGATGATTGAAATTTGTAAATATATGTTCAAAATTTAAATTATAGTGTGCCAAGAACCTGGCACGTTAAAAATACTGATGGGACAACACTAAAACTGGCACGGCTGCATTTTAAGCACTATCACTATGTCGGAACAAGAGCAGAAGCTGTTTAAAATTGACATCAAAAGAATTAATAATAAAATATAATGGAAATCGCAAGAAATTTATGAAATTATGACACATAACAGATTTGCTTTTTAATATTAAGTCCCCTCTTAGGTCATGAAGAAAGCCCAAGTTGATTTTGGACAGTAACGGCTCAAACCAGCTGCTGAAACAGCTGTTGCGGCTACACTTTTATGGTTGTGTTTGTTGTCAGTTCTTGTGGCTGATAGGCGACCGTGATATTTCTTTGTGCAATATAATTTGATCTAATTAATTAACGCCTTTGCATTACTCTTTGTTCAAAACAGAATTAAGTTGATTGCTTTAATTGCGCAGTTCAAGTGCTTCTGGAAACGCGTCTCATAGGTTGCTGAACATTTTTTTTCAATTGCGCCGTGTCAGTGTCTGGTCACCCAACCCTCCCACCTAAACCCACCGTCTACAGCGGCATTGTGACTTATTAGATAGCTGCTCATTCATTAAAATGGTGGATATTAACATGGAATTTGTGCACTCTATAGAACCACAAATAGCAAGCACCGGACGTTCCACTACCGAGCTGGAGGATTCCAAAAATGCGTACCTTGAGGCTGCGCGAATCTTGCTATTGCTGCTGGATAATGTGCTCAGTGAGCCGAATAACCTTAAGTTTCGCAAGATACGTCTTGAAAATAAAACCATCAAGAAACTATTGTCGCTGAATGGCAGCGAACAATTATTGAAAGCTATCGGTTTCAAGCGTGTGCCAGAAGCTAATGCAGCTTATATATTGCCTGTTGAAGTGCCACTTCAAAAGATTCAACAGTATCGCAACGCCTTGCGTGAGAGACGGGAAGCTTGGCTTAACGGCGCAATGCTAAAAAGTGCGTTTTTAAAATCTGTTAGCGTTTAGGTAGTTAAATCGTTTTGCTCGTTTAAGGTCCCGTAAAGGAACAGAACCAAGAAATGGCAGCCAAATGCAACAAGCCCTTCTTTGTAAGAACTTCAAAGCCCTACCATCAGCGCATCACATTTCCTCGAGCACTGGTTTGTACACACAAGCACCTATTTACAATAAAGAATGCGACCAAACAAGTGTGCTTACAATTACAGCGCACCCCTAATCGTTTTCTACAATCACTGGAGCTCTACTCCGATGCCGTCATGCAGTATGAGGATGAGCAGCTGCTGGCCAGTGGTCGCGACTTAATTCCAATCGATGCCTTAACTTCGCGGGCGAGCGAGAAACTTATGAGCTTGCAACAGCTTATTGCCTCGGGAGAGTTCAAAGAAGCAGAGCCCTGCATACGGGATTTGTTGCTGGTCGAGCTAGTCAATTGGTTTAATACAGAGTTCTTTGAGTGGGTCAACAACATTGCATGTCAGGTGTGCGGCAGTGAGGAGAGCAAGTTGCGTCGCACACTAACCGAAGACGGTGTTCGGGTCGAGGTGACCGTCTGCTGCGGCCAAGAGACAAAATTCCATCGCTACAACGACATTTCGCAGTTGTTGGTCTCACGCAAGGGTCGCTGTGGCGAATACGCTAACTGCTTCACTTTCCTCTGCCGTTGCCTCTCTTATGACGCGCGTATTGTACACTCGCACTTCGATCATGTCTGGACGGAGGTTTATTCTGAGACACAGATGCGCTGGCTGCACGTGGATCCTTCTGATAATGTGGTTGATTCTCCGCTTATGTACCAGCATGGTTGGAAGCGACCTATTGACTATGTGTTTGCCTACTCACGTGATGATACGCAGGACGTAACCTGGCGATATACGAACAATCATCGACAGATCTTGCAACTTCGTAAACTTTGCTCTGAAAAAGAGCTCATTGAAGCGCTAAACACAATACGCGCAAAGCGAGTGCAGCTCTCGAATGCGAGCGCCGAGCGTAAACAGTTTTTAAGTAATCGATACATGAGCGAAGTCATCCAGATGACCTTGGAGCGGTATGTATAAGTACAACGCTAGCATTTAAAACGTTCCACAACCCCACAGTGTTTACACTTTCTGAATTGCGCAGAACCCCGACTGAGAGCGAGCTCAAAGGTAGAAGCTCGGGAAGCTTGGCCTGGCGTCAATCGCGCGGAGAACACACATTCACTAATGTAAGCAAACTACATAAATGCTGCATACAATAATCAAGTCTTCACCATTTTATTTTAATGCAGATTTATGTGTTCACGCTAAACGAAATCGAACTTGAGAAACGTCAATTTAATATACGTTATAGATGTTCTACTGACACGTACGAACGTTACACCAAAGGTTCGTTGGCATCAAAGTTACAATACTTTTAAACATTTAATTAACGTTACTGCAATACTTTCTATGTAGATGGAGAACTTGAAACCATTTTAGAAACACATAAGACATGGCAGAGTGTACAATTTGCCTCGAAAAACATTTTTCGAAAGGTGGAACGCGATTGGAAAATGGCTTATTTGGCCCGGGTGGGTAAGTCCGAGAACTAATCAACTAATTAGATTTAGCAATACCAATATTGTCATCGTTTATTTTCAGAGAATACCGAAAACGCTGAAATTATCTGGAAATTCGATTTTACGAAAACAAATTTAAAGGTAAAAACATATAGGCTTGAATTTCAATCGAAGACCTTTGGAGAGGGCAAAATTGACGTAATCATAGAGAGTTGCGATAACAAAACGTGCATTGAAAATGCAAATCTATTCCAAATTGTTGCCAAACTGAGCGGAGGCAAAGGCGATGTGGCCTGGCAGCACACACAACTCTTTAGACAAAGCCTAAATTCGAAAGAATACCCGTTTGAGCTGCAAGTGGAGCTGTACTAGTCGAAAGAGCATGTAAAAATTATAACGTAAATTCCATTTAATATTGTAAATAAATCAAAATGATATACAATTGTGTCAAGTATTTAAAGGTAATGTTTTTAGAAATGCTACAATAAACAATTTTTTCGAAAGCGGTTTTCTTTTTATCTGTATCTATCTGTATACATATATGTACATATAGCATGTTTATAGCATGTTTATTAACCTAACTCTACTGTTCGCTATTGACCAATTCGAACCATTGTCGCATGGCTTCGCTGAGAACAAGTGGCAATTGATTGAGGTCTCTTACGATCACGTAATATGGAAACGGAAAACTGTCCAGATATGAGTTGATGTTGACAGAGCCATCAGTGTTCAACTCAACATGTTGTATATCCAATATGGAATTCTGAAAATAATAATAACATTAATACGAAATCTACTAAAATATGTGCTATATTAGACCTTATTATCCGGATTATCAATTATAATATAGACGAGGAAAATACGCTGCAAACGCGCCAGTTTAATAGAGTTTTTTACTTTTTGATTGCCCTCGCTAAATATGTTGCGACCATCACTCAATATTAATAGTAAATTCTCAAATAAGCCATTATCGCCACCCAGAGATGCCTCTTCGCTGTTAACGGTGCGTATAAAATCCAGCATACCCGCTATTTTGGTCTTATCTTGTGCAAAATTCAAGACATTGACCAAACGTGGCCCGTCAAATTGTTCCGTGTGATTTAAAATTATTTTTGGGGACTCTCCGAATGATACGATGCTCAGGCGACCGCTTTCCAGTAGAGTCAAGGCCTGCGAAACCAACGATATGGCCTCAAGTGTTAGCGTTTTTGAATTATTGTGGTGCATCGACTTCGAATCGTCAATGGCAATTGTAATTTTATAGTCACGCTGAGCGGGTTTTGTACGCCTTAACCAGATTTTATCCTTGCGAAATTGTGAAGCTATATAAGGTATTATTTTCTTCATATTAATGCGTCGACCAGTCCGATAATCGCCCTTAAGGCGCGTGCATTTTGTTGGCTCGAGAATTAGACGCAATTGCTCACACAGTTCTCGTGCATTTTGAGCCATGCGATTGGAAACTGACTGCCATGCTTCATAATCTTCTTGATGTGGTAACGTCTGCAGAAAGAATTTGATGAAGACTTAAAAAATACTCAAGGATTTGGCAGACAACTTACCACATTGGCTGTTGCGATTTGCTGCTGGTACATTTGATGCAATCCCATTTGCTCAGCTGTGGTCAACTCGTCTACCGCTGTGGTTTTGTCTATTATTTCATTGCTGTATTAGGAGAATGGAAATGATATTTTTGGGATTTTCCGAAGGACTTGATAGTGAAAAACTCTACTTACTTGGTATGTGCCGTTGTTTCTGTGCTGCGTGGTACTGTCATTGTCGGCACCACCTCTCCCTCTACTTCCATTTCCTCAGCGTTCTCCATTTGTTGTTCTTTTGTATGATCGGTCTTGGAGGGTTTATCCGACCTTTGCTCGGTCTTTTCTGCGCCTAATTTCTCCACCTGTGCATCATCTTCCTGAATATCTTTAGGATCCTGGATATCCATAAGCTCGTCTGTATTTTCATTCTCTGTATTACTATCATCTTGTTGCTGCTCGTCTTCTTGGTGCATTATTTGTTTTGATTGCTCTTCAGTGGCATTATCCAATGTGGTCTTGTCACTGTTTTTCGGCTCCTTAACATGCTGATATTCATCAGTTTCGACATTTATGTCTTTACTTTCATTCTGGTCAGCGTCAACTTCATTATTCTCCTTAAGTTTGTCTATAGTCTTTAGTTGCTTCAATTTATTTTTCTCAGCTTCACCTAGTTCAAATTTTAGAATTGCATTTAATTCGATTTTAATTTATAATATTAATAACAATAGGTTCTATAGAGAAAAGAAGTTCAAATAATTTCTGATATCAATTTGTACGGAAAGATTAATAACTCGACAGAGTTGTCTGATTCTTTATATATGTATATATATCATGTTGTTTGTCTAAGATATAGTCAATATTGAATTAATTCCTCTATATAATATATCGTTTACTTTAATAAGGCGAAATAAATATTTGTATGCAAAGAATAAATATATTATTGTTTTTCTTCTAAGTCAGATGTGGTTAATGTTGCGACGCTAAATAGGTTTGAATAGCCAGACAATGAAAATGCATAATATAATTTTGCTAACAGCTGCACAAATTTCCAAACACAACTCGTGGTTAAACAATAAATAAATTTAAGAAATTCGTTTGTTTGTCCAAAAATGCAAAATAAAATAAAATTTTAATAAAGTTGGCACTCCTGATAAAGTATAAAAAGGCCCGAAGTTAGTATACATCAGTTACATTAAACAATCTAATCGAACTTGAATGAAGTGCTTCTACGATGGGAAGTGCCAGGACGCTCATTGTTGGCGTGTTATTGGCCGTTTGCATTGTTGCCATTTTGCCCAGCACTAAAGCGCGACCGTCTGGTTCAGCTCCTGCAGATGTAACGCAACCTGAAGAAGAGGAACTACAACAGGAACAACAGAAAGAGGAACCTGTGGAACCTGAGCAACCTGCAGAGCCTGAGAAAGAGGAGTCTGAAGAAGAGGACCCTAAGGAAGAGGAACCTGAGGAAGAGGAACCTGAAGATGAAGAACCAGTAGACCCTGAGGAAGAGGTGTCTGAAGAAGAGGAGCCTAAGGAAGAGGAACCTGTAGACTCTGAGGAAGAGGTGTCTGAAAAAGAGGAGCCTGAAGAAGAAGAACCTGAAGAAGAGGAACCTGCAGAAGAGGAGCCTGAAGAAGAGGAACCTGAGGAAGAGGAACCTGAGGAAGACAAACCTGAGGAAGAGGAGTCTGAAGAAGAGGAACCTGCGGAAGAGAAACCTGAGGAAGAGGTGGCTGAAGAAGAGGAGCCTAAGGAAGAGGAACCTGAGGAAGACCCTGAAGAAGAGGAACCTGTCGAAGAGGAACCTGAGGAAGAGGAACCTGTAGAAGAAGAGGAGCCTGCGGAAGAGAAACCTGAGGAAGAGGAACCTGTAGAAGAAGAGGAGCCTGCGGAAGAGAAACCTGAGGAAGAGGAACCTGTAGAAGAAGAGGAGCCTGAGGAAGAGGAGTCTGAAGAGGAGCCTGTAGAAGAAGAGGAGCCTGAGGAAGAGGAGTCTGAAGAAGAGGAGCCTGAGGAAGAGAAACCTGAGGAAGAGGTGGCTGAAGAAGAGGAAGCTGAGGAAGACCCTGAAGAAGAGGAACCTGTCGAAGAGGAACCTGAGGAAGCGGAACCTGTAGAAGAAGAGGAGCCTGCGGAAGAGAAACCTGAGGAAGAGGAACCTGTAGAAGAAGAGGAGCCTGAGGAAGAGAAACCTGAGGAAGAGGAGCCTGTCGAAGAGGAAGCTGAGGAAGACCCTGAAGAAGAGGAACCTGTCGAAGAGGAACCTGAGGAAGAGGAACCTGTAGAAGAAGAGGAGCCTGCGGAAGAAAAACCTGAGGAAGAGGAACCTGTAGAAGAAGAGGAGCCTGAGGAAGAGGTGGCTGAAGAAGAGGAGCCTGAGGAAGAGGTGGCTGAAGAAGAGGAGCCTGAGGAAGAGGAGCCTGTCGAAGAGGAAGCTAAGGAAGACCCTGAAGAAGAGGAACCTGTAGAAGAAGAGGAGCCTGCGGAAGAGAATCCTGAGGAAGAGGAACCTGTAGAAGAAGAGGAGCCTGAGGAAGAGAAACCTGAGGAAGACCCTGAAGCAGAGGAACCTGTCGAAGAGGAACCTGTAGAAGAAGAGGAGCCCGCGGAAGAGAAACCTGAGGAAGAGGAGCCTGTCGAAGAGGAACCTGAGGAAGAGGAACCTGAGGAAGAGGAGCCTGAGGAAGAGAAGTCTGAAGAAGAGGAGCCTGAGGAAGACAAACCTGAGGAAGAGGAGCCTGTCGAAGAGGAACCTGAGGAAGAGGAACCTGTAGAAGAAGAGGAACCTGTAGAAGAAGAGGAGCCTGCGGAAGAGAATCCTGAGGAAGAGGAACCTGTAGAAGAAGAGGAGCCGGAGGAAGAGAAACCTGAGGAAGACCCTGAAGAAGAGGAACCTGTCGAAGAGGAACCTGAGGAGTCTGAAGAAGAGGAACCTGAAAAAGAGGAACCTGAAGAAGAGGAACCTGTAGAAGAAGAGGAGCCTGCGGAAGAGAATCCTGAGGAAGAGGAACCTGTAGAAGAAGAGGAGCCTGAGGAAGAGGAGTCTGAAGAAGAGGAGCCTGTAGAAGAAGAGGAGCCTGAGGAAGAGGAGTCTGAAGAAGAGGAGCTTGAGGAAGAGAAACCTGAGGGAGAGGTGGCTGAAGAAGAGGAGCCTGCGGAAGAGAATCCTGAGGAAGAGGAACCTGTAGAAGAAGAGGAGCCTGAGGAAGAGAAACCTGAGGAAGACCCTGAAGAAGAGGAACCTGTCGAAGAGGAACCTGAGGAGTCTGAAGAAGAGGAACCTGAAAAAGAGGAACCTGAAGAAGAGGAACCTGTAGAAGAAGAGGAGCCTGCGGAAGAGAATCCTGAGGAAGAGGAACCTGTAGAAGAAGAGGAGCCGGAGGAAGAGAAACCTGAGGAAGACCCTGAAGAAGAGGAACCTGAGGAAGAGGAACCTGTAGAAGAAGAGGAGCCCGCGGAAGAGAAACCTGAGGAAGACCCAGAAGAAGAGGAACCTGTCGAAGAGGAACCTGAGGAAGAGGAACCTGTAGAAGAAGAGGAGCCGGAGGAAGAGAAACCTGAGGAAGACCCTGAGGAAGAGGAACCTGTAGAAGAAGAGGAGCCCGCGGAAGAGAAACCTGAGGAAGACCCAGAAGAAGAGGAACCTGTCGAAGAGGAACCTGTCGAAGAGGAACCTGAGGAGTCTGAAGAAGAGGAACCTGAAAAAGAGGAACCTGAAGAAGAGGAACCTGTAGTAGAAGAGGAGCCTGCGGAAGAGAATCCTGAGGAAGAGGAACCTGTAGAAGAAGAGGAGCCGGAGGAAGAGAAACCTGAGGAAGACCCTGAAGAAGAGGAACCTGTCGAAGAGGATCCTGAGGAAGAGGAACCTGTAGAAGAAGAGGAGCCCGCGGAAGAGAAACCTGAGGAAGACCCAGAAGAAGAGGAACCTGTCGAAGAGGAACCTGAGGAAGAGGAACCTGTAGAAGAAGAGGAGCCGGAGGAAGAGAAACCTGAGGAAGACCCTGAAGAAGAGGAACCTGTCGAAGAGGAACCTGAGGAAGAGGAACCTGTAGAAGAAGAGGAGCCCGCGGAAGAGAAACCTGAGGAAGACCCAGAAGAAGAGGAACCTGTCGAAGAGGAACCTGAGGAAGAGGAACCTGTAGAAGAAGAGGAGCCTGAGGAAGAGGAACCTGTAGAAGAAGAGGAGCATGAGGAAGAGGAACCTGTCGAAGAGGAACCTAAGGAAGAGGAACCTGTAGAAGAAGAGGAGCCTGCTGAAGAGAAACCTGAGGAAGACCCTGAAGAAGAGGAACCTGTCGAAGAGGAGCCTGAACAAGAGGAGCCTGAAGAAGAGGAACCTGAAGAAGAGGAACCTGAAGAAGAGGAACCTGTAGAAGAAGAGGAGCCTAAGGAAGAGGAGTCTGAAGAAGAGGAGCCTGAAAAAGAGGAACCTGTAGACCCTGAGGAAGAGGTGTCTGAAGAAGAGGAACCTGAGGAAGAGGAGCCTGAAGAAGAGGAACCTGAGGAAGAGGAGCCTGAAGAAGAGGAACCTGAGGAAGAGGAACCTAAGGAAGAGGAACCTGAGGAAGAGGACCCTGAGGAAGAAAAACCTGAGGAAGAGGTGGCTGAAGAAGAGGAGCCTGAGGAAGAGGAACCTGGGGAAGACCCTGAAGAAGAGGAACCTGTCGAAGAGGAACCTGAGGAGTCTGAAGAAGAGGAACCTGAAGAAGAGGAACCTGAAGAAGAGGAACCTGTAGAAGAAGAGGAGCCTGAGGAAGAGGAACCTAAGGAAGAGGAACCTGAGGAAGAGGACCCTGAGGAAGAAAAACCTGAGGAAGAGGTGGCTGAAGAAGAGGAGCCTGAGGAAGAGGAACCTGGGGAAGACCCTGAAGAAGAGGAACCTGTCGAAGAGGAACCTGAGGAGTCTGAAGAAGAGGAACATGAAGAAGAAGAGCCTGAAAAAGAGGAACCTGTAGACCCTGAGGAAGAGGTGTCTGAAGAAGAGGAGCCTGAGGAAGAGGTGTCTGAAGAAGAGGAACCTGAGGAAGAGGAACCTGTAGAAGAAGAGGAGCCTGAGGAAGAGGAACCTGTAGAAGAAGAGGAGCCTGAGGAAGAGGAACCTGGGGAAGACCCTGAAGAAGAGGAACCTGTCGAAGAGGAACCTGAGGAGTCTGAAGAAGAGGAACCTGCGGAAGAGAAACCTGAGGAACAGGAGCCTGAGGAAGAGGAACCTGAGGAAGACCCTGAAGAAGAGGAACCTGTCGAAGAGGAGCCTGAACAAGAGGAGCCTGAAGAAGAGGAGCCTGAAGAAGAGAAGCCTGAGGAAGAGGAACCTGAGGAAGAAGAGCCTGAAGAAGAGGAACCTGTAGACCCTGAGGAAGAGGTGGCTGAAGAAGAGGAACCTGAGGAAGAAGAGCCTGAAGAAGAGGTGTCCGAAGAAGAGGAGCCTGAGGAAGAGGAACCTGAAGTGCCTGTAAAACCACCAACAAAACCAGCTACATCAAGAAAACCTGCACAAAGTAAAACTACACCAAGAAAACCTACACCAACAAAAAAACCTACACCAACAAAAAAACCTACAAGAAAAACTACTACAAAAAAAGCACCTACGAAAAAACCAACTGCAAATCCTCCACCAGCAATACCTTGGTTTGGTGGAATATTTAACGCCTTTTTACCTCCTGGTTTATTTGGACGTAAATGAGGTATTGGAGGAAGCACAGCATAGAAGATGACGCAAGACGCAGGGGTGGCGGTGGCCATTAAAACATGTATTGTTTAATGTTTAATTAATTATAAATGTAGCCCAAAACAAAACAAGTTGTTTTTGTTAAACTCAATAAAATATTAATAATGTGCATTCAAAATACAATATCCGGTTTGCGTTGCTACGCCACTTAATTGTAGTCCCTTTAAGCTTTCTTTCCCAATACCTGCTTCGCTTTGTATGGCTTCGATTAGGTCCTTGATTATAGTTGAGTACCCGCCGTCGTCTACATTTATTCGCCTGTGCCTCCTGTTTGTGTTTCTTGAATCAGATGTGGATGCCCTTTCGCGCATTTGCCGAATTCGCGACTCTCCTTCTTGTTCCCCTTCCTTTTTGTTTGCAAACGTGATTCACGTTTATCGGCATTTTCAGATGCTTTTTTCGCTCACTTTTTATAGCCTGTACCCAAAGGGTAAAAGGCTATATTAGTTTTGTGCGAATGTATGTAACACACAGAAGGAGGCGTGGCAGAACTCACAAAGTATATATTATTGTATAGAATAGTATACAAGTATATATTATTGATCAGCATGACAAGACGAGTCGATCTATGTCTGTCATTTTTCAGCTCGCGCAAACCTAATATACTCTTGTACATTTCATGTACAGAGTATAATAAGCCAGAAAACGATGGTTGATCGCTTTGCACAATTGCCACAAAGCATCACAGGATTATTTATATCACAGGACTATTTTGAATTTTGCCACAAAATTTGATCAAAATCAGTAGGGATAATTATTTTAATATTTCAAATTTATGCCTAGAAATGTGGATTTGGGACCATAGTGCATGATATAGTAATCGAATGAACAAAATCAGATTTGTAAAAAAAACGGTTAGAAGCCCGATTTACATACATAGTTATTTATCCCTTCCAACTAACAAGATGGGGAAATACCGTTTAACTGCATTTAGTAAATATTTCATAATGAAATAACGCTTTGTGGTTAAGTTATTTGAAAACGAGGTATTTTCTGCACTTACCCAATGTGCGCTCTTCGTTAGTTCGTCCCTGTTTGCGCTTTTCCTGAGTTTGACGTTCGTTTTTTCGATCTTCCTGTGAAACGGCCTCCTTAGTCTCGGCTATGCCTTGGTGTCCACCATCGTTACTCTGAAAAACCAAAAATATTCCTGAGAATTATACGAAAGCATAGAACATTTTCAATTTACATCGTTTTCAGCTTGGCCAACACCGTCCTTTTCTTCACCCGTATCTTGCTCGTCCATCTTTTGATCCTGGATTACATCCTGGTCCTGTTTCTCACTTTGTACTTGATCGGCTGAGCTGTTTTGATCTGATTCAGGCACAGATTGCACATTCTCCTCCTTGCTGGACTTATCCTTGGATTGTGAATGCTCTTCAGGCTTCTCTTCACGCTTCTCTAGCTCCTCATGTTCAGTTACCTCGTCTTCATTCTGTTCAATTTCCAATTCGCCACGTTTTTGCGATTCCGTTTGGTCGAGATCTTCGTCAGCTGATTCTTCGTTTTCATTATCTTTTCCATTCTGCGCTGGCTCAGTTTCCTTGCCGGTTTCTTCTGCCTCTGAATCGGTATTCTCACTCTCGGCCATGTCGTTATCTAATTCTTCAGCATTATTGTTGTCTTTTTCTTCGTCCTCCTTATTTTCAGGCGGGTTGTTTTCCTTCATTACATCAATATCAAACGGATTTTCATCACCCTGATCCTCAACGTCATCGCGTCCCTCATCTACATTATTCATATCGCCAAGGTCCATTTCCTCTGGTTCTGGTGGCTCCTCAAGCTCATTGTGAAAGACATTTGTTTGCTCTTCGTCCACGTCGGGACTCCTAATATCATCAATGTCCTTAGCTTGTTCCTTACGTTTATCCTCGGAGTTTGGCTCGTTGGTGGCGTCTAGCCCATCTTTTTCATGCTCATCCTTTCCATCTTCATTGGCCGCATCATTTTTTGTGTCCAAATCGTTATGAGCATCCTTTTCGTCTTTAGTGCCCTTGCCTTGATCCTCATCATTCATTTCGTCCTGCTCATTTTTTTCTTCTTCTTCATTGTCACCCCAAATCTGTTCGTCCAGTTTTTCAGCACCATCCTCGGTTTCGCCCATTTCTTTATTAAGATCCTCCTCGTCTTCGGATTCGCCACTATCGTCCTCTTCGTTCTCCGGTTTTTCAATGTCTTGCATTTTTCCATCAAAATCTTCACTCATATCAATACCTTTCTCTTCCTTGCAGTCGGGCTCCTGTTTATCGCCATCATCCTTCCGATCTTCAGGTCGCTTTGCATCGTCAAGTTGATCTTCGTTTTCTATTTTATCTGAAGCATCATTCTCTCCCGACCCATCCTCAAGACCAAAGCCTTCGCCCTTCTTGGAGTCTTGTTTGGATTGACCCTCCTCGTCCTGCATAAGATCAGCGGGCACGCAGAAGCCATTGATACCGATCTCAACAAACACAGTAAGCATAATTGACAGCATCTTGGCAGATATTTTGTGTGTTCCCAGCTGTTGCAAGAAGAAATAATCGGCCAGCAATTGGTACTGCTCCAAAAGTGGCAGCAACGCTGTTGCCTTTTGCAGACATGCCAGCTTTTCATTGGTAGCAGAGGCATATTTTAACACCATCAACACATTGGAAACCTTGCCCAGAATGCGATCGATGCCCAATAGTTGCCAATCATTGTCTAACTCTTCACTCAAACGCTGCTTCAAATGCCGCTCCTGCAGTTGAGTAATTTCGTTTTGTTTTTTTGTGGGGCTACTGCGACGTTGACCATCCTCTAAAATGTTCTCCAGCTTGGGATGCTTTTTGAATATCTTTTGCAATGCCAGCAACACATTGTGCGCTATATTGGCTAGTTCTGTTTCAACATTTTCCAAATCCAAGGATTGTGCTTTGTTCCCCTTTTCCTCATCCTTTTCAACACTGACTTGGGCAAGTAGCTCATAAAGTGGTTGCGCCTGCGGAAAATGCTCGCCTTCAGAACTGTGTAGCATACTCACCGCCTTTTCCAAGTTTCCCACAATTTGCTGATAGGAGGTCTCCAAGTGTTTCAACCTATAGTTGGCTATAAAATCAACACTATCTTTTTCCAATTGTGAAAGCATGTTTTGACTTGAGTTGATCACTTGTTCGATGACTTGCAAGAGTGCAGTGAAATGTGGACTAGTTTGGACCAAGAGCAGGTTCTGGTTAGCGAGGGCTATGTTGGTGGCTACCTCCTGCACAGGCGCACCGGCCAACAGCAGTTTAAATTGCTTAACCACCAAGTATATTCGGCAAACTTTTTCTTTCAGTGCCAAGCATTCTTCCTGATGGTATGCAAAATTCATCTCGTCAGTATTGTTCTTGGAGGCGGAGATAATGCTAAAAATGTCCCGCAGATTTTGCAAAAATTTTCGCAGTTCATGCAACTGTCCAGTAGCATTGGCCAATTGGTGGCGCTGCTGCTGGACAAGAAGAAACAAATCAACAGAAAAACCTTTGATGCGCTCAATATTTGGTGGACCCAACTCGGATAGAGGCGTCAGCATAATGTTCTGCAATAGCTTCAGTTTGAATACACATTTCATATAGTATAAGTTTAGGTGCTCGTTAAGCTGCAAGGCATTGGGATGCAGCCGTTGCTCCTTGCACATACACAACATGCTCTTGATGCAGAAGGGTGGCGTTTGGAAATTTTCGAATTCAGTACGCAGCGTGAGCTCCATGAGACCCGTCTTATAGCTAATTCCCAGTTGTGTGAGGGTCTTGAACAAATCCGAGAGTGCTTTGCGTTTTTGTTGCAATATTTGTTTAGCTTCCAATTTCTGTTGAGCGCGCTCCTTGCTTCGATCCACATTTAAATTGCGCAAGTATTCACAGCGTTCCAGTTGCTCCTCCAGCAACTCATCGAGGGAGTTAAGCAGCTCTCCATATTGCATATTGCCCAGTGTTTCCTTTACTATGTTCCGGGCTGTGCCAAAATGCTTGCCCAGACGATGGAGTATTGCGTTTGCGTTATCTCCAGTAGGCTTATCATCTACCGAATATTTCAAACGCAATTTCTCTGAGGCCAGAAAATGGTGCTGATCAATCATGAAGTACTTCATTTTGTTGTAATGCCGCAAATTCTTGCCTTTGTCACTGTTAAAATTGTAATCTTTGGCCGTGGCATCTTTCGGTTGAAAAATGCCCGTAATCTTTTCTTGCAACAATGATCGATACTCCTTTAGGAACTTGTTTAGGTTGCGATGCACACTGGCGACATTGTTGCGCATGCTGAAATAGCTCAAATCTTTAGTGTAACTTTGTATTTTTACAAACTCCCGCATTTTCTTCTCAATGGGCGCCCGCCTGCTTTTATTAGTTTCCTGCACTTCACTGGCGAATTGCGCAAAGTAAATCTGGAGATTGTGCAGGCCAGCAATGAGTGGTTTCAGATCCACTTCAAGTCGACATTTAAGCACGTTATGGACATACATTTCAAAAGCGTGCAATAACTGCAGTCTCACATGGAAATCCCCGTAGCAGGAGGCTTCAACAAATTGGCGCAGAATGCGAATTAACTCGGGCGTCTCAACCTTGGTTCGTGATTCCGTATCGGTTTCATTATGTTCCCCATCTACGAAACGTTTTTCTGCGTATTTGATATCCCTGTATGATTGATCCATTTCCTTTTGCTCGATAAACTGTTGTAGTAAATTGTAGATGAAGAACCAATAACGATATGCCTGCTGCTCTACTTGCTCAGCAGTCCGGCTCAAGCAATTGCGCCAGTGCTGAAGCTCCAATTTTGTCCATCGTTGCACGTACTCCGCGACCTCGATCTCCTCCTGCTGCAGATTGTTATTTCTATGCGCCACCTCATTCCAAAGCGCCAATTTCTGGCGAAGTAGCTGGAAGCCCGTATTAAAGCGCACTACAGAAGCCGTGGAGGGCAGATTACGTATGCGTGAGATGACCAGATTAATGTCCGCCAGACCAGCATGCTCTGGATACAGTTCTAACTGCTCCAGTACGCGCTTTTCAATGCGATCGAGCACATTCGTACAGCCTACCACTTCAGTCAGATTGGAGTCCTTATAAAAATCATAGGTATTTCCACTTTGTGCTTCCTCCAGAACTATATCATTTAGTGAGCGCTGTTGGAGCGCAAGCGCAAAGGCCAAACTATTGTAGGCCCGCTCATCCAGTCTTTCGTTCATAGCATTTTTAAAGTGCGCATAGAGCTTTACACATACCTGCAGCCTGGCCTGATAGGGAACTAGCAGTTGCAGCTGGAGGGAGCTATTGGTCTGATTTCCTCGATGATAACTTACTTGCGTATGCTCTGTCATAACTTCAATGAAATTGCGTGCTAGAAAAGCGTAATCCTCCTCATTAACAATTTGGGCTATCTTTTCCTTTAGGTTATGCTTTTTGTTAAGTTTTAAGACATTTTCCAGGGTTGGCTGTGTTACGAATTCGCCAAAATCTTCGTCTACATTGGTTGGAAATATGGATTCGATTTCTTTAAGCTCCACCAGTTCATCATCCTCGATCCCGCCGCATGTTTTGGTCACATATAGCGATTCAGCTTCTTCGCGCTGTTTAATTCGACGTTCCTCCTCCTTCTGCCAAGTCTGATTGCATATCCGCAATGCGAAATCATAGGCTGCAAAAGTGGGCTCATCAATTGTGGACGCCACCGAGATGCAGTTTCGCAGCTCAATTAGCTTAGCTTTCAGCAAAGAGAAATATTCGAGCTCGCAATGCTGCAATTTCGACAGCAGTCCATAAATTGCATTGTTTTGGATCATTAGCGGTTTAACGGCTGGGAACTCCAACATGTCGCTTAGTAGACTCTGCAGTTGTTGTGCCTCCTTCACACTGCCGGCGAGCATGGCTTGAGTGAAGACAACTTTTAGGTGTTCCAGTCCAAAACGCATCTGATTTAATGCACACTTGATGGGCTGCACAAAGTCCTGATAATAGGCATTGTAACGCGAAAGCGTGTGATGAACAAAACGCCGTGCATTGGCTAGCCACAGTTCAATTTTATTGAGAGTTTCTGTCCCAGATTTAAGCTGGTCGTCAGTGGCCAACTGCTCGAAATTTCTCCACTCCTGCCTGATAGTATTGACAAACTTTACGAGTGTCTGCAGCTCACAGTTGGACTGCATGAAGTGTGTAACATCCTGCACAAGATTTGCATAGAGGCATTGCTCTGGACGTAATGCCAATTTTTGAGATAGTTTTCGTTGTTGTTCGCGTGCTACTTGGAAACGTTGCATAAATTGCTCATAGATCTCATGACCAAAGTGTTTGTACTTCATGATTATACGCATGAAATCGTAGACAGTTGTCAGATTACTTAGGCATTGAATGTCGGCTTCTACATACAGATTCTTCCAGCGATTCTTCTCTACCGGATCGATGAGTGGCATATATGTGAGCAGGCATAGCTCCACAGCTCCAATTAATGTATTACTCAATGCAGCCTCAAATGTAGTATCCAAGGGTGACTTCAGATCGCTTTGTAGGTGCTTTTCAGACAGCTGCAATTCTTGCATAGCTTGTTCAATTTGGGAGTTCTTTTCATTCCCTATTTTTAGGACATACTGCAGCTCCTGTAGCAAATGCTGGATATTCTGACGCACCTGTCCTACATTGTTCATGTCCGTATTATAGCTGCTTGTTAGCAAACTTGCATTGTGCCAGAGCAATTGACGGGTTTGTCGCAAACAGGAACGCCAACTGTCAAGCTCATTAAGAGGTACCGGCTTCAGACTTCCATCGTGCCTGAAAACTAGCGCCAGCAGAACATTCACCAATGCAGGACCCTCGTAACTATAGCGACTGTCTAGCTCCATTTCCACTGATTCCCATGGTTGAACACAGCTTAGGCGCCTGGCCAAATTGTTTAGCTGGTAACATTGCATGGCATTGCGATATTGACGCTGATAAGTTCTTAATCCTTTCAGACTACCCTGTAGTTCCTGCAGGAGAGTTTCATATTGATCAATACTTTCAAGGCCTTCCAGTTTGCGGCACACTTGACGCCACGCGCTGCTAATACTGGCATGCACACCACTGTTAAGCGTATTCAGACATTGCCAGAAGTCGCCATTTAGCGTTAAGAGCTGCTCACAAAATGAACCATTTGGCAAATTATCGAAATCATTGTTGGCCGATTTCGTCAAAATACGTGACATCAAATATTCACGCAATGCATCCAGAAGCAGTTCGTATGGTTTCAGCTGAGTTGTCTGCTCGCTCTCCTGCTCCTTTTCTTCTTTCCCCTTTTCCACAGATAAAAGTGAGTCTATATCGAACTCTAAGTCTGTTGTCTCAGTTATAGGAATTACTTCGGTTTGATTTGCTTTCAATTCCACACAAAGGTTTTTCAGCAACTCTTGCAACTTGAAATTTGTACTTGACTCTTGAGTGCCCATCTCAAAAGGCTTAAAGGAGCAGGCAGGTGTATAGGCACGTAGGTAGGCTCGCCATTTATGTGCTTTTTCTGATTTGAGTACCAGGAATTTCATCAAAATGTTTTTTACTTCCATTTTGCCATAATTAGGCACAACATTGAGCTGTTCCTGTAGTTGATCCAACTTTGTGTGCAAGGCAATCTGAAAAACGATTAAACATTTGAAATAGCTTCATTGAATTTAAGTTTCTTAATTGACTTGGAAAACTCACTTGATTCTCCATATAATAAGGTTGGAAATGAGTGAATTGCTTTGAGTAAATTTTGCACAGCACATTTAGGGGACGTCTTGTCTCTTCCACATAGGCTTTTATGCCCTGCAGACTTTCACCCAATTTTGAATCACATTCTTCGCAAATCTTTCGCATCTCACCAAGCAAATGCTTTTCCAACCACTTGAAATGCAGGACCAATTTGTGCATGAGCGACACATTCACCTGATTGTTGCACAAAAGTGTTTGCTGTGCCGTCGTTAATAGACGATTGAACCATAAGTAATTGATTATGAGTTTAGCATATTGATGAAGTTCAAAAACGACATCATTGGCAGTTAGCTGCGTGAAGAGGAGCTGCTGCAGTCTCACAAGGAAGGTGCTGAGATGCGTGAGAAACCCATTGGTAAACTTGTTGGTTACATTTCCTGCTAGAAGAGCTTGTGAATATTCCAGGGCATCCAATTGTTGGAGTTTGCCAAGCTGAAGTTTGGGAATTTCGCAGAGCAGTAACCGGGAAAGTAGAGATGCACTAAGCGCAAGAGAAATATCCTTTGACTGTTCCTGCGTAGCATAGTCACGCAAACGTGGCAAGAGTTTTCTGTTCCACGGTAGCTGAGGAAGCGTAGATGACCGTTTCGTTCCCTGTCGCTTAAGCCACTCGTAAAGTTGTACCGATAGCTGCTGCAAATCCGTGCCTGCTCCTAGTAATGACTGAAGATAAATATGTCGCAGTTCAAGCTCGTCAAGGGCGCATACTTCGTACATTAAGTACAGAAAGAAGCGTGCCAACTGTGTGGCGTTCAATTGTGATAGCTGCAGGGCATCCATTTCTTGAAAGAGCATTGCCAGTTGCTCTTTTGGCACCTCATTCCGTGCCTGCAGCAGCACCTTGAGAGGCGCCGCTTGCAGTTTAATAAGAGTTAGCGTAGTTAGATGGCCACAGTTAAGTATCACATCGCTTAAGGGATCCATAGCTAGCTTAGCTTCAGGATTTATTGCTTGCTGTTTGGCATAGGTTTCCGTTTGCTCAAGCACTAGTTCACGTAGTTTATTTTGGTAGTAGGGCAGGCCATAGCCCAATAAATCCGTGGTTGCCGAATAGACGTACACCTCCATTGCTGACACATAAATAGCGCGTGACAGTTCGTATCCAATGTGGTTGTAGGCGGAGCTTAGGAATCCCAGTTGCGTCAAATGTGAAATGCTGTAGCCATTCAACTCAGTGAGTCCAACAATGTTTTTATGGATGCGCAGCATGCAGTTAATGGCCGCTATCTGATGAACTCCCTGGCTATGGACAATGGCTCGCATATCATCGATCGTATAGGAGTTCTTGTGCACGGCCAATTCTACACAGCGATTGCGCATCGCACGTGACAATTCGCCATTTTTGGGATCGATTGTGAGAAAAGCACGAAAGTTCTGCGATTTCTGTACCACTTCTGCACTGTCGTTAGTACTAATGCCCTTCTCGGCAATAAGCAGACTACCTTGCGGCTCGAACACTGGATTTAGCCGATCCAGCACAGCTGAAGAGCAGAGGTTTACATGCTCCAACAATATGTGTTGACCGAACTTGAGCGACTGAACCACTTTCGAATCGACCCATTCAAAGGACCCTCCTGTGTTCAAAGAATCGGTGTTGCTGATATATTTCTGAAGTAGAAGCAGCTGTGATTTGTTCTGCGATAGCTGTTGAAAGTTTGCGTTCCGACAACTTTTGGGCGTTTTCTCCAATATATCAATTATTTTGTTGAGTGCACACAGATGTCGATTGAACAACTGAAGCTCTTCTGAAACACTTTGTTCATTGAACTCTATAATAAACAATTCAATTATTTCTGCATTCGTATTTCTACAACATGTGTTACCTGTTGTTTGTTTTGCCATCACATTGAATTTGCTCCAAGCGCTAAATAGTTGAATGGCCAAACCTTGCTCGATCTTTTTGAGAAAAGTGTTTTGAACAACGCTCAAAACCAATGCCTCAATACTCCTAGATATTTGCTCCAAATGGCGGTTTAAATCAATCTACAGTGGAAAGCAATAAATAAATACATCATTTTAATGGAGTAATTATAATGCTCACCTGCTGGAAACTTCCCGTAACCGAATCGTCGATAGTGTCTGTATTGCAAATTTGGTTCGAAAGAACACAATAAGCATCGATAAGCTTGGTCTTCCCACTATCTGTAGCACCACAAAGCAGCAAAGGCTTTTCCATGTGCACGGTCTCTACAATTTGCTTAAGGAGCTGCCTCTGAGAAGAAAGTAGCAAAGGCGCCTTTGTCTGATTTTGCTTAACGCCCAGCATATTATCATCACTTTTCTGCTTCCGGTGCAGGATCACATCATTTAAATATACACTATCGGCAGTCCAATATAATCCCACGTCCTCTGAGATGACATTCAACTGCTCGGCATCACAATTAAAAACGCGTGCAAAGGCATTGCGAATAAAAAGGTGGTCCTGCTCCGAGCGCATTCGTTGATAGTAAACAAGTTTCATACGCTCGTAAAGTGTCAGCAAAAATTCTTGAAACTGAATTTGAAACTCTGATGTGGATCGTCTTTCCGATGTACGTATTATGTAGCCCGTTTCTGAATTATGAAGTAGATCACACCAGCGTAAAATGTCACGCAAATTGAACTCATAAGGCCCTCCCTTGTAGCCAAACTCCATGCTACTTACTCCACAGTCTAAAATTTCTGAAAACTTGACTAAACGTTCAGCCAGATCGAAGCTTAACTTATTTCTGATAGCCTCTTCATTAGCCGGAGAGATGTTTGAGTTGTAAATATCGAAGAGATTAATCTGTGTTACATTATCCTGAACATCGAGTAATTGCTGGAAGTGTTGGCTTAATTCCTCAAAGTACTTGGCATACTTGGCGTTGACCACATGTAGAAGATCCGCTTTAGTAAGCTTTCTTAAATAGACCTTTGTGAACCGATTGAGGAAGGATTGCGGCAGGCCTTTGCGTCCGCCTCCTTGTTTCAGAGGATTCTGGCAAGCAAAAATGCGCGTTTCATTGCCCAGCAGAAAGCTTTTGTTTAGCTCTGGTATATAGACTTCGCCACGATGATCAAGCACGGCATTGAGACCCTCGAGCACAGATTGTGGGGCCAAATTTAATTCGTCCAAGAGAATCCAAGTGTTGGGCGCCTTGAGAGCCGCTAGCAACGGTCCATCACGCCATACAAAGGAACCCATAGCCAGTTTATTCTGTTCGTCACTCGAAATATTTAGTAAATTGTCTTCGGCAGGCAAATCCGTGCCGAAAAGATCAGCAAGGTCTGTGTGTTCGCATAAATTTATGCGCACAATCTGATAGCCGATAGCATGGGCAATGCTCTCCACTATTGATGTTTTGCCAACTCCTGGCGGACCCTCGAGCAGCACAGGTTTCCGCAACGACAGCGCCGAAAGCAGGCGGAATAGGTTACGCTTGGTGGTGGGCGCATCGAAAAGGAAACTAGCGCTGGCCTCCACAACACGTTGGGGATTAACGCACAAAAAGAAGGGTTGAATGCCAAACTTTTCGGAGGTCAGCTGAACTTCCTTTCCACGTTTTGCAGATATATCTTCAATATTAAAGTTAATTTTTAATATTACGGCTGCTTTTTTAATGGCATGGTCAATAACATTGGCCTTGAGCCGTTCGATTTGTGTATCCGATTCGTAGGGTAACATTTCTAGAGCATCTAGGAAAATGGTTTCCAGTCCAAAAATTGCCTGCTCTGGAAAGCTAAGATCCGCATTGCTGACCATGTAATTCGACCAAGCCAGTACGTCTCGCACTGAGAACTTGAACTTTTCATTTAACTGGCGGATGTAGAGCACTATTTCCACGAGATATTCTGCTATACTGTGGTTACTGCTCAGCTCATTGCGCCCCATGCAGTTGTAGGCTATTTCCACCAGATCCTCCTTATTAGAGGAGGGCAAGCACCAGATTTCGGTGAAGCGGTTGCGCAGAGCTGGCGAAAGTTCTTTTTTACCAAAGTCACCGCCTGGATTCATGGTAGCCAAAAATTGGAATCCTGACTTTGCTTTCACAACGAAATCCTCGCCAGTGGGATCCGTTTCGGCTACACCTCCCTTTTCCGCCAGCAATACAGTTCGTTCCGGCTCTAGAATGCAATTCAAACGCTCCAAAACAGAGTCTTCGGCAAGTGATATTTCATCGGCCATGAAATACGAGCCCTCCTGCATGGCATAAATGAGTGGACCATCGGCCCATTCGAATAATTTCTGTTGATTATTATCAGTCTTGCGTTCACGACATGGTCGTAGTCCACCCAGAAAATCAGCGCCTTCGGTGTGCATGTGGCAGTTAAGAATACGCAGCTGGACGTTTGCAATGCTGGCCAGCAATTGACAGACGGTTGTCTTTCCACAGCCAGTTGGACCAACAAGCAAGACTGGCTCATCGAATTGCAAGGCTTTGGCTGTAAGGACCGCCATGCGGGTCATGTTGCGCGTCCAGACAATGTCTGCGCGCTGTTTAAAGTTTCGTATTGCATCGAGAATCTTGTTTGTAACTGGGGAATTGCTCAGATTTGTGTTCACATCGAAAAGCTGTTCAAGATTAACACGCTTTCTAAAGTTTCGATATAAAGTGTCCTCAATAATATCAATTTCAATGGGTGTGCGCACCTTGGCCGAGAGTACGAGATAGCCCTCCTCAATTAGATGCTGATTCCAGTCGTAGCTGCTGTTCGCTTGTAGCGATTTATCTGCATAGGTGTACCGGTTACCCCAGCGGAAAAGATCGCGCAGAGTAAACACATTTTTGGAAGTGGTTTTGCGGTTCTTCTGCAGGTCGGACATGCAGAGCACCATCTTCTTGGCATAGGAAGCGGGTATGAGACAACGCTTCTCTAAAATGATTTCCAACTCACCCCGTGGAATGTCCGCGAAGTGCAGCTCAATGAAGCGATTCTTGAATGCTCTCGAGAGTGTCTTGCGCCCTCCGTAGAGTCCTGGTGGATTTTGTGTGGCAAACAACATGAAGTTTGGATGCGCCTTCACAACTGTTTGGGTTTCCGCAATAAACAACTCCCGATTGTCGTCTAGAACGCGATTAAGTGCCTCCAGAATGTCCGTGGACGCTAAATTCAACTCATCCAGAATAATCCAATAGCCACGACGCATGGCTTGCACAAGCACGCCTTCCTGGAAGGTTAATTTACCCGTCACATCCGCTGCATATGTTCCAATGTACTCCTGGAGGTCTGTGTGTTCGTGATTATTGATGCGAAGGCAGTGATTACCACTTCGTTTTGCCACATACTCGATAAGACTTGTCTTGCCCGCACTGGTGGGACCCTGCAAGAGGACGGGCAGCTTTCCAATCGAAATAATGCGCGCCAGATCCTTAAGATTCTTCCGCACACTCTCCGTGAGGATGTAGTGGACGCATTCCTGCGGTTCATGTGTTCCCAGCTGAATCCAGTAGCCCTCGAATTGCATATAGCTATCGCCCAAACGCGGTAGCTCTTGCATGAGTACAGCCTTTGCGTTACGCAACAGTGCATCTTTGATGAGAAGCAGCACCAACTCATGTGATTCCGGATCTAATTGAGTAAGGAAACTCAGGCAGAAGCTTTCGTACAGATTCCGTTCGATAGATCCGCAAAGGTTCTTAGCGCATATGCGTAGACTGCGGCACAAGGTGCGTAAAGAGTAGACAGGACGATTTCCCAGGCCATCGTTAAGCTGCAGTTCCGAGAGACGTTTCAGCGATTTGTACAGCTGAACAATTCCATGTACCGACTTGCGTTGAATTCCTGTATTGCTCAGATAATCGCCGACGAGCAGACTGAGGTCTGCATCGGTAGTCAACTCATCCACAAAGAACTCGGTAAAACGATTGCGTATGCCCACGGGTAAGTCCTTCTTCCCAATATCCGTATTAGGATTCATGCAGGCAAAAATCCTAAAGTCTGCGTGACGTTTCACGGGCGTGAAATCGCCGCGCTCCAACAGTACAACCGAACCCTCTGGCTCCAGAATGGTGGAGAGACACTCCAGAGTCTCGGCCGAAGCCAAATTAATCTCATCAAGTAGAACCCAATCTCCATTCTTGATGCAATTTACCAATGAGCCCGGTATAAAGGCAAACGATATATTAATAGATTTGTCCAGCTGTGTTTGAAGCTTTTGTAGCTTTGTCTGAAGCTCCTCCCATTTCGGCAGCAACAATTTGAGCTTCGCATCCGTTTTCTTACCTACGTTAGCGCAAATGTTAAGCATAGACTTGATGATAACAGTATGGCGGCCACTGTTAAAGTGTGTGGCAAATATGCGCAAGAAGTCCTGGTTTTTCTCCAAATTGAAAGTCTCGCCAAACAGATACTCAAACTCGTAGCGCAGTGGCGCCAGAACATAGTTCAGTTCCACGGGCTTATAGCCGCCCACAAGATCTGAGACATCTGACTGATTGTTCATGTTCACAACCACCAGTTTGTGTTCTGTTCGCTCCGCCAAATACTGCACCGATGACGTTTTACCCACACCCGTTTCACCTACCAGAAGTACTGGTTCTGCGTGCGAAACGCAGACAGCGATGCGTTCTAAGAGGCAGGATGCCAGACGGGTAAACGAAAAGGTTGTGCGTTGCTTGGTGCCCCTGTTCAGGGTTCTTTCCGTTTTTTGAGTGAGCTTTTGACGCTTCAGTGCCTGCGGTTCTAGCTGCTCGTCCTCGTCCACTTCATCCATTGATTTTGCACACAGAGTAGTGCGACCAATTTTAATAAGATTGTTGGCAAACTCCACCTCCGGCTTATGTTCGTTGGCAAAGTGGTCGCAGCGTGAACGAATGATGCCCAGTTTTGCACCAATGCTGGTGATAAGCGCAGTTTTCTCCTTGCTTTGCGGGAGATATGAGCAGAAGACATCGACAGCATTTTGAAAGACAAAATACGCACATTCAGCGTTGGTCACTGAGAATTGCGGATTGGATCGCTGACACAATTTGATGAGATCACGTGTAGACACCAGACGTCCCGAGTTAGGCATGCTCGAAATGGTGACTTGCTCAAAGGGCAACGTCGTATACTTTTCGGTTGTGTCCGCTTTGTCACCCGTTTCTTGCTGACGTAAATTATCGACACTCGTGTGATCTCCGCTGGAGAAGGTCAGGAATACATCCACTACACGATTGGCCACAGTGGATAGTTTGGGATAATTGGTGCTCACCACTTTGCACAGTTCATTGCGTGACAGCGGCAAAATGTTAATGGTATATAGATACTTTTCCAGTAGAGTAAACAAGGATTTTTGACTCGAGGTGCTGGCCGATTTGTTAGTTCTGTAAATAAAGCATTTATTTTATGACCATGTTTGCTAAAGACATATGTATATAGGTGAGACATATATAGGTGAGAACTCGAACAACTTACCGCACTGTGACAAATAATTGAAAACCTGGTTCTATTTTTACGCAGTCACGAAAACCGGGAACGCTCAGATAATTACGTTCTAGTAGACTGCTTAATATTGTGTAGGTATCTTGGGTGGCAGCATCCAAATCTTCCAATAACAGCCAATAGCCATGCATGACGGCCTGTTAAATTACACAAAATGAGAGCTAGTTGCTTAGAGTAAATGCCCTTCTCATACTTGCCTGCGTCAGCACACCTGGCAGCCAAATGAACTCGCCTGGCACATCTGTGCAGCGATATTGTCCGAGTAACATTTTGCTATCGGTCTGATCACCCAATTGTATGCGAAGAAAACCATTTCGCAACGTCAGCGGGTCTACACCGTCAAGATCGAGCAGTGAGTCCAATTCCACTTCTCTAATCTTTCGTTTGTCTCCTACATTTTTCACAGCCGGTGTCTTTCTCTTCGGTATCAATAGTTCTTCTTCTTTTTTGGCAGACTCATGTGTTTTTATTTCCTTCGGTTTTGGGCATATCCGTCCAGTTTTTCTAGCCAAATACTCAATGAGTGTGGTCTTGCCACAGCCCACGGGTCCGGATAGACAAATGGGCTTATCAGCAGACACTCCCAATGCAATGCTGCGCAAATTAACGACAGTAGAGTCTACCTTCACAATACGATCGTAGGAACCGTCAGTGGCCGCATAAAATTCATGGTTGTCTTTGTTAAAGATGGGCAGCAGCACCCCCTCAATGTTTGTAACTCTTTGACTGGGTGGTAGTTGTAACTTTATCACTTTTTCATCAGCCAGCTCTGGCAAATATTTTAATTCTGATTGTGGTATCAGCTGCGTAGCTACTGACTGCTCTTCTTCAAATTTCAGCTGCACTTTTGTAGGTATAGATGCATTAAGTGCATAAAGTTGTGCGCTTGACATGTTTGTCAGAATCGCCATAGTGTGGTTGTAATAGAGCTCCGTCAGTTTACACTCGAAACTTCTTTGGGCGTATTGCGAAATGAACAGCGACCAGTCCCACAATTCCCGGAAGTAAGTAGCGTCGCTTTTTAGAAGTTGAAAGCAGCATTTGATTAGCTCCAACTCACTTAATTCTGTGGAAGCATTTGTATGTTTTGCTTTTTTACTCGGCGCGTGTCCATTACTCACTGATGTTGCTTCGAATGGGGCCGACTTTTTACGAAAGTAACGCTTGGAAAACCTGTGTGAAACATGAAATAGCATTACAAATAAAGAAATTTAAATTAAGCACACCTTCTGGCATCCCCGGAAAAGTCCAGGAGCTTTGCAAGAGCGATACACTCCAGTTGGTACTGCAGAGTTCCAGCATTGCCTTCGCAGCTGAGAGCTGTGGTCAACAGAAGCAACAGTTGTTCGTTAAAGCAAACGGCCAACAGCAACGTGTAAGCAGGGGCTGTCAATTGCTCGGCGAGACTTCTGAAGAGCTGTTCGACGTCCTTCTCTGTGTATTTCTTGAAAAAAAAAAAATTTAATTGTTGTATGTTCATATAATTAGATGAATCTCACTTGTTTTTTAGTAAACTGTTGTAGGTGAGAAATAAACGTGCTTTCTGGAGGCTCCGCCGATGCCGCTTGAAGGTGGTCCAAGAATCTACGCACTGAACATCGCAATTTGTTGATGTGTACTTCCATGGCTTAGGTTTGCCAAAGACGCATTGGAACTGATATAGAGTGCCAATTATCAGTATATAATTCTCACTCAATTTCAATATAACTCGGGACGCTTAAAAACACCAGTTCGAAGCACGTGCTGTGGAACAAATACCTGCCACCTTAATAAAAATTCTAGCGGCTCTTAAACTGTTTTTATCGATCTGGTAGCACTACAACTTTGTTTACGTTTTATATGGAACATTTTTTGCAGTATGGCAATGTTAAAAACCGGCTAAGGGTTGCCGGTAAGAGTAAAAATACCAAAACAACACGATGCTGACTTTATCGATGTTACCACATAGAACCAAATTCGTAGACGATACATCGCACATCCCTAATTTACTGAAATTTGCCAATAAAAACCATTTTTTGTATTATTAAATCAAGAAGAATAAAAAAACGTATAACAGAAACATCATGTCGGCTGACGTGCGTGATATTTTGGACATGGAGCGTGCCAATACGCCGGAAGTGACAAGAGATTCATTTCTCGCCACGAAAAAACGCAACTTTGAACGGTAACCAAAATGAATCTTTTTTTAAACAATGAAACCGAGAAAAATGCATTTGCAGCACTAAGCATGCCTCGAAGCGGCCCGAGGGCATGCACCGCGAAGTCTTCGCGCTACTCTACACAGACAAGAAGGATGCTCCTCCACTCCTGCCAACTGACACTGCTCTAGGTATTGGCGCCGGATACAAACAGGCGAAGGCGCGGCTAGGCATGAAGAAGGTGCGCAAATGGGAATGGGCTCCGTTTTCAAATCCAGCTCGCAATGACGCTGCTGTTTTTCACCATTGGAAGCGCGTGAGCGACGATTCTTCCGACTATCCTTTCGCAAAGTTTAACAAACAGCTTGAAATACCGACATATACGATGACCGAATATAATGCCCATTTGCGGAACAACATACAGAACTGGAGCAAAGTCCAGACAGATCATCTCTTCGACCTGGCAAGGCGGTATGATGAGCGATCTTAAAAAGTATATGTTAAATTAATCCTACCCTGTTTGCAGCTTTGATCTTCGTTTCATCGTTATGGCCGATCGCTGGAACCGACAGCAGCATGGAGCCAAGACTGTGGAGGATCTAAAAGAGCGGTACTATGAAGTCGTTGCACTGCTGGCTAAAGTCAAAAATCAGACAAGCGAAAAGAAAACATTCGTTTTCGATGCAGATCACGAGCGTCGACGCAAAGAGCAACTGGAGAAACTCTTTAAACGCACCACGCAGCAGGTGGAGGAGGAGCAAATGCTTATAAACGAGATGAAAAAGATCGAGGCCCGCAAGAAAGAGCGCGAGCGTAAGACCCAAGACTTACAGAAACTCATTTCACAAGCGGATCAACAAAATGAGCACGCAGCCAACACGCCGAGCACACGAAAATACGAAAAGAAGCTTCACAAGAAAAAGGTACATCATCAGCCGCGTCCTTCCAAGGTGGACTCAGTGGTCAACGCCATTGAGATTGGCAGCAGTGGCATCAAGTTTGCCGATTTGCGTGGCTCTGGCGTGTCGTTGCGTTCACAAAAGATGAAATTACCCGCCAATATTGGACAGCGCAAGGTCAAAGCGTTGGAGCAGGCAATACAGGAGTTCAAAGTTGGTAGGTGTCTAGTTTAATAATAAATTTTATTTTCACTCACTGCTGTGTGCCCAACAGATCCCGCCCCACCACCAACAGAGGACATTTGCAATTCGTTTAATGAGTTGCGCTCGGACATGGTATTGCTTTGCGAGCTGCGTACTGCTTTGACCACATGCGTTTATGAAATGGAGAGCCTCAAGCATCAGTATGAGGCCGCCTGTCCGGGAAAAGTAAGCTATACGCCTAATAATAGTATATGGATGTTCCATTTACTGTCTTATTTATTTCAGACCCTCAACATACCTCCGTCGTTGGTGCCCATAAAGACGGAGGCAGACAGAGACCAGAGCTGAAATTAATTAAGTTATTGTAAGCTTAAGCATTTCCCAGAGTAGCGCATGCTGCTAATCATTGCCCCAACACACACATTATAACCTGTTCTCATAGTTAACTGTGTCCCTCTTGTGACCGCTCTCCATATTTGTCCATTTGCTCTACTCCTAGTCGAGTTTAGTATTCCATAAGTAACAAGGCTAAGCAATGCATTGTCGAAGAATAAACGGGAAAACAAGAAAATTGTTTTGCGGCTCAGCATATGTGAAAATCAAATACATCGCGAGTGTGAGAACTTTTTCGATGCGCGATTGCTGTGATTTATTTAGGTTCTACCATTTTCTTGCTCCGCTCTCTTTCCAGCATTTATGTGTCATGGATGTTCTGCCAACTTATTTATCTAGAATTTGGGTTACGAAGAGTGCGCGTGCGTGTGGCCAAGTTTGGAAAACATCTTTCAATGCCATGGCATTGCTACTTCTGCCACTGATTTGACAGCTTCGCTTTGGGGTCAATCTTGCCGATATGCAACATTTTTTGCAGGCTCATACAAAGATATACATACTATATATTGGCTGATAAACTCTTACAATGTATTCAATTCATAGCTGCCCACACAATAGCCACAATTCCAATGACAAACTAAATGCAGAGGCGGCTGACCATTCACAATGCCCGAATACAATGGGATGGAAATTAAAAAAATTAATTATTTTTTAAAAACTCGTTCGATTTCACAGAAAATATGTCAAGACCGACCATATCAAATCACTCTATCAATGGCGCTCATAGATATGGTTTAAAATAATAAAAATTGTATTTGTATAGATTTCTTGTCGAAATAGACAAGGATATTTTGTTTGAAATCACTCATAAAATATAGATAAGATTGTACGGAAACAGTAAAGTATAGTTTAGTTCACGATCCATGACCCATGAGAATAATATTTTGCTGTTATTCTCAGTGGAGGGTATACCTAAGTATGATTTCTTGCCTCATTTTAGTTATCCTGTTGAACTGTTCAATTCAATATGTATAATAAATGAATGATTTCAGTGGTTCTTTACTGACTTGTGAACGAAATCGGTCATATAGCCAATTATTTTGATCGCTTATTACGTAGTTCCATTCGATGATAATCAATTCCTTCATGATTACTCTTTTGGTTCGGGTATATACATAGGGGAGAATTAAATAAATTAGACATCCGCAGCTGCCTTGAGATTTTATTTGAAGAAGTCACTGTCTAATTAATGATGTCTGAGATAGCCTTTGTTTATGTAATATAAAATGTAATTATTTGTACGACAATACAAGTATAGGAAGCCCACTGTGCGGACGTCTGAGTCAGCTTCTGCTCTTGGCTCGGTGACTTGTCGACGCTGTGGAGCGCTCTGTGGCTGCCTGTCTGCCTGCCTGTCTGCCTGCCTGCCTGCCTACCCGGCTAAGCGATATTTGTGAATGAACTCATGAAATCATTGTGGCTGTATAGTTCGAGCCCGCTTTACCTGATCGTTTGTTGCGCGTAGGTTTGTGTAGAGACTACAGCAGCAACAACAAAAACGCTGCCCAAGTGTCAGCCGTCGTGTTGGATTCGTCGGCCGATTCTGTCTGTACACACCGCTTGCAGTCGCAGTCGAGTTTTTGTTGTCGGCGCGTTCAGTTCGGAAGAGTGCACAAGTCGGTGGTTGGTTCGTGAATGTGAATGGGAATGCCTCGCCGCCAAAGTGAGGCAATTGTGTAAACAAATAAACGAGCCTAGTACGCCACCGCGAGTAGAGTATTTTAATTGCGATCACAAATACTATAGTGTGCAGTGCAAAGTGCATGAAATTCTGAGCTTGTCCATGGAGCGAGTTCGTCGTCTAAATCATTCGTTCTAATTACCATGCGAGTGAGGTACAAATAATAAATGCCATTCAAATATTAATAAATATCGAAACATACTTGTATGTCGTTAAATGAACGCAACGCTCCTTGAATGCAAATTTAACGATTTCGAAACTTCACAACTGCATAACAACACCAGTGCAAGGGAGTGCTTACCTGTTAGTCATCCCTAAAGAATCCTGCTGTTGCATGCACAAAACGAGGCAACAACAATAACAAAAGGAGATAACGATAACGTCACGCTCGTTCAACTTCTTGCATCCGTTTCCGGCTCTTTCTTTTATGTCGCTGCTGTTTTATTTGATTATATTCGTAGTACTTATGCTACGTTTTCATTCATGAAATTTTGTCTCGTCGCGCCGAGTGATCTGTGAGTGTATCGCTACGTGTGTGTGTGAGTGTGTGTGTGTGCGTCCAGCAGTGTCAACTGTCGCATTGTTACCCCACGGCATGCATTGTGAAGATTCTTATCGCATTTTAAATACCCTCTGAGCCATAAACGCACACGTCTCGTCCGCAGCAAAGGCGACGCTCTGCCGCTCTCGGGACAGGTAGACGGACAGTTAATGCCCATTCATTGTTCTAGTTCACATTTGAAACGTTCTCGCGAAGCCGACAGTTGATAAAGTGTTCCGCGATTTATTGCCTGTTTAAGTTTCGCACGCTGATAAAGCTTCAGTCAGGAGAGACAAGCCAAATATTATAAATAAACACCACACACTCATCGACATCGGATCTGTGCTATTTTTTTCGCATCGTCAAAATGTGGCCCAAACTAAGGTGAGTGGGATTTTTAGCGCCGCTCAACTAATTTTATAGAAACACACAGTATAATTTATTTATGAGCACTTAATGGCCATTCGGGGGCTTAGGTTGGCATACATATGCGAAATGAGCGGCCATGAATAGCTGAGGAGACAATCTACAAACTCCCACCTGATATGCAGATCAATACGTTCAAGGCCCTTTTCTAAATTATAGATACAATAATTCTTACACTCGGGAAAAAATTAGACGAACAGTTCTAGCCAATTAGACTTGAATTTATCCCATTTTCTACTTGATTTTAGCTTGTTAACATTAAAATGTATGCAAACGTTAGTTAGAATTACCAAGTGAATTTTCAGGGGCGATGGTAATAAATATAAACAACGAACAATATTATTATATTATTTTATTAATGCTTTGTTAGGTAAAAATTATATATTTTTGAAAAACGAACCTTTATTATCTTAATAAAATTATTTATTAGATTAAAGTATTATGAGCTACTTTCGGTTCTTACTATATTGTTAAACTGATTGACTTGTGTGACTATTAAAAGCCCCTTTGTAGTATTGTATAGTATCCTCTTAATATCAACACATTACTTCACAAAGACATGTGGTATTTTGGCATTGAGTTATTAAAAGTGATTATAATTAATACTAATATTGTGATCAAATGAATAAAGGAAATTATTTTGTAAGCTGTTATTTAAAAATTAACTTCTTTATTGAGGAATTAAATTGCATCGTTATCTGAAGATTAATTGAGACTAAACATTTAGTTTAGTTGTATTTGTATTTAACTATAAGTCTAATTTAATTTATAAATACAACAGTATTTATAAAAAATAGTTATCTGAATTTATTTTGAAATAAGTCGCAATTGAAAGCAATTTTTTTTTCATTTTTATTAAATTTACTAGATTTACGAAATCAGAAATTAATAGTCTTCTTTGGAAAGTACGATAGGCAAAGTCTTTTCAGTTGCAGTGTGTTTCTCTGGACAAAAATTTAAGACACTGCTGGAATCATATTAAATTCTAACTACAATTTTATTAAAGTATTCCGTCTGTTTATGTAAGTTATTCATTTACAACTGTTTTCCTGTGACATGTGTTTTTTTTTATATACCCGTAATAGACTTGGGTATGGGAGTAAAAAATGTAAGATGTCCATTAAACGAGCAGGTCGGATGGGCATGAAAACCACTTCCGTTGCTGGTGTCATGTAATTGTGAGACCCCGCTGTCACTCGAAATTAAAATGCGTTTTCATTTGCCAGGAAAGAGGTACATTTTGACTTAATTTAACGGCAAAAACTGTGTTGAACCTACGCGTATTTTTATATATATTTGTTCATACACGCAATTAGCGCTTTTCGTTGCTTTCTATTTTTATTTCATTTCATTTATTTTCTTACTTAGTTGCTAGCATTTGTGTTTTCTACACGGGTGTGTGTGTGGCTCTGTGTGTGTGTGCCTAATTTTATTTACCTCATCATTTTCTCAGCATGCGTCTTGGTGCGTAGCTACAACAACAGCAATAACTACTATAACAATTAAAGTTTTATTTTATTCAGTTTTTGAATGGCTGGTCGACTCTTCGGCGTGACGCCTACACAGTTTTCTGGTCTAACCTTTTTTCGTTGGAGATTTCATGTTTTTGCGTTCATAATTAATGTTTATATAATTTTGTTTACTACATTACACGTGCTCATTAGCCGCTTGGCTGCTGCTAACATTTATTTAGTTTACCTTAGTAGTTTTTGGCAGAGCGTTCTATTGTTTGTCACAGAGAGTTTGTTGCCTGAGTCTTTTGTTTTCGCAATTGTGGGGTGGGCGTCATTTATTACTCGTTGTCGTCTTGTGCCCCCACCGAGCGCAAAGCTTGCATGAAAGTCTGCGAAAGCAGCACATTGTGGTCTATGTGTGCTACTTGTTGTAGCTGTTGTTGTTGTCGTTTTTGTTGCTCCATAACGAGTTGCCAATTTTGGTAATAAGACCGCACAAAACGACAAACGACAATACGCTGCCCACATGCGTTCAGAGTTTATGTCTGTATATTTGTTTGTAAGTCCGCATCAGCCCAGTCGACAGCCAATTGCTCAAGAAAGAAAACCCAAATGAATGGATGGCAATGAAATTACCATATTAACGCCAATCTAATGCACAGGAAAAAAATTCTTTCTTTCATTAAAGGTGGGCGAACCATAATGATTATGATTATGATTACATATAGATATATTATAATACTTATATGCATGCTAAGAAAAAAATTGATTTTTTTCGCACGCAGTGTCTAAATTTAATTAAAAAATTATATACAAATAACTATTAGTTCTAATGCTGTTTATTTATTGCATTTAATTCAAGGCATTAATAACATACTCTAACTAATAATGCGGATATGTTTATAATCATTATAGCTGCACTCAAAGGGTAAAAGGGTGCACCACTTAGTTTAGTGTGAATGAGTAGTATTTTCATTTAAAAAAATGCAGAGTAAAAGCCAAGTCCAAATCTTTGTACTCGGATACGAATTTCGAAATAAGCTGATTTAGATAGTTGATATTACGAACATTTCTCTCAGTGCTGCTCACACAGACAATCACTTAGCATACTCCTCCGCAGCATCCAATAAACGAACAACAATTTCTTGCCATACAAGTTGAGCGGCTGGCATTTGTGTGTGGGTTTTTGGGGCTTTTCACTTGGCCGACCGACCGCCAGCGCCGTTCGCTCTGCCAACTCTTTGGCTGTCAAGTGGGCAAAGGCAGCTTTAAATCGGCTGCTGGCGACGGTTGCCAATGACTGTCGGCTATTTGCGGGCGCGTTCATGCTGTGAGTGTGTCAGCATGTTTGTGTGTGTGTGTGTGGCATGTTAGCAGCCTGCTTAAATGACTAACGAGAATTTAAGTTTAGTCTTAATCGTAACTATTTTCTTTGGCTGGACTGCAACTCGACTCGACTCACAGACACATAAAACGCCCACAAAAACATCGTCGCATTTTAAATGACATTTAAGCAGACACACAGAGATGTATGTATGCATATAAATGTTGGTAAATCGAACAAACAAAAGTGGACAGTGGGCAGAGTATATTAAGTTGCTTTCATCTGAGTGCGTCTTTTCTTTCAAATTTTATTAATTTTGACAATCCACAATGGGGCATTTAACGGCGACTGTCTGCCGACTTTCCGTTTTCGAAATGTTGCAATTAACAGGCGCTTTGGGCATAGCAGCGCCCTTGTTGTTGCTTTTGCCTCTGCTGCGTGGGCAGTGAACTCACTGCACATACATACCTACATATGTATACCTGTATATATGCACGTGTGTGTGTATGCTTGTCACATTGTGTACGTACAAAACTTATTCATTCACAAGAAGAAAAAATTGCTTTTTCTTTAAATTTGTGGCAATATTGTCAAGCAACTGCAAATAAATTTAGAAACTAGTTTTTCTAGTATACTTGTGTGTACATACATATTTACGAGTGTGTGTGTGTGTATGTGTGTGCATAATAAACAAAAATTTAAACAGCTACAACAACACTAAGAGCGGCAATAACAAAAATTAGTTATGTGTCTGCGAGTGGGCTTACAAACGGAAATGTGTGGGTGTCGTCTTGAAATGTTGTTACTTGCCTTGTGTTGTTGTTGCTGTTGCTGTTGCTGAAACGCAAATTACATTTTAATTGAACAAACAGAGAGGAAAATGTCATCTCATGTTGTGTGCAAGTTTGTCAGCCAAGTCTTTTGTTTCCGCAGCTCAAGACTAAAAAGTGACCCGAAAGCATTCCCATAAATACCGTTTATACGCACTGATCTCATACATAAAATAATAACAAAAGCAAATAATAGGCCTAAAGGTGCGTATGTTGAACGAATACAACAAAACAACGATAGCAACAACAAGTGGACAACAACAATTTTTAATCCAATGCAGGTCTTAAGTAAACAAACCATTCGAAATGACTTTAAGCCGCGATTTGTGCAGCAGGTCTGGGTTTGAAGATTGAGCTCGTTTCCTTTGAACGTGCAAGAGGAAGAATCAAAACAAGAGGTCGTAAAAGCCACAACAACAACAGTAACAGCACGAAGAGCAGTGAATTGACGGAACAAGCTGAAAAGGTATCGGCAAGGTTACTGCCAGTCTGCATTTAATTTAAATGAAATTGGTTTTCGGTCTGGCATGTCTGGCTTGTCTGTCTTGTCTGGCTCTTCTCAACTGCTCCTTTTGCACTTGTATACCTTTATTTACACTCGTACCTACATCGTGTGTTCTTGCTCGCATTTTGGACATTTCATTGTGGATTTTATACGGCATTTGCATATGAATTCTCTAGAGCAGCAACAAGAACGACGGTTCAGTATCAACAACAACCAAAAGCAATTTGATGCTTAATTTATGTGCCTTTCAGGAGTCGCAGCCGCATGCGAAGCTCTTCAGCTCTGGGGCCGCTCTCGCCCATTCAAATTGCCTTGTGGGCATCACTGGGCCAGACAATAATTAAAAAACTTGAGCATTTGCCTAAGCAAAGAATACAACAATGTACGCAATTTCAATTTGAATGAATCGCCCACGTACTTTAAGCCTATGCTACAATTATTTCTCTGCCCATTTAAGTTCGTGTGCCAAGTCTTTTGTTTTCTCGCCTTCGGCAAACAGACACTTTGCACAACTTGAACTTGACGTTTCGCTTTAAGAGATTTTTATTATTGCTATTATTATAACTTTTATTTGTGCGCGCTTTCATGTTGCCACTCATGTTTTAATAAGCTTAACTTTTGACACATCTTTGACAGCTGGCTGGCGATTTTCGCTGCTGTTACTGCCATTTTGTACGGCATGTGGCTTATGCCTAATTCTATATACCAGTAGGCACATAATTGTTATTTTGACACTTGCCACCGGGCCCCAAGCACTGGCCTATGTAAATACAAACAGATATACGGGTATATCTGCAATATAAGTTTACTTATTGTTGAGTATTCGAATACATTTGCAGCGTGAG